TGTAGGGAAGTATTAGTCTTGGCTTCCCGTCCTATACAAACCACCTTGCAATATGTTTCAAAATGCACATCAATATTCCAATCCTTGAATTTTGAACAAGATGCTTTGATAATAAATTTTAGCACTAGGGACGGACACCAATCATAGTATAAAAAACAAAAATATGCACTGATTGGGGTTTATCTCCTTCCGCTGCTTCTGGATTTGAGTCCTCGTGTGTACGTCTGTCACCCTCGCGGTGTCTTACATGTCTACTAGGTTTGCAAGATATTTAGTAGGGCGTGAGATTAGTTGTGGTGCACGCAAGCTGGCCCGGATACCCACGTAAATAAGAAAACAAAAACAAAAACATGGTAAATCTTTTCTTTTTTGAAAACAAAGTCATACAAGTTACACCAAAATTTTTATTAAAATTTCAACATAATCTCTCCTTCATACTAGAAAATTTTAAATTATCAACAAACAACCAATGCACTTTTATTAATCATTATTCAATTACGATCCAATTATTATAAGTCTTAATTTTTATCAATGCTCATTGGGACAACCATAATTTTTCAAATATTCAAATAATAACAATGAGTATTAACTAGTACTTAAATGAGAAAAAAAAATACTTGCATGGAAATTATGAATACGTGATAATATAAATTATGTTTAGATATTATATTTAAAAGATATTATTATAATGTAAGCTATAATAGTTTCTTAAGATACAAAATATGTTAATATTTGTTTAGCTCTAAATGACACAAAAGATAGAGGATCTAAAATATTACTCTTGTCATAAATATGATGGACCTAAAATAAATATAAGATTGAAAAATAATTATCATAAAAGCAATACTAACATTGATAATCAAAATAATATATTAATTAAGGTTATATATTATCATATTCTTTATAATTTTTCATCTAATCCCCTCTTAAAATTTTTGGATTTATTCCTTCTAGATCAATTTTTCGACAATATCATATATTAATGTTGAAGGACAATTCCTTAAAAAATATTGATACCAATTCAATGGCACCATCAACTATCTTTACTAGGATTACTAATCAAATCTTTTCTTCTCTAAACTTTAGGATGGTAATGCTAATACTAATAAATATTATTAGTATCATTAGTCATCCTTACTAGGATTAATTAATTAAGTTTGTCATAAATGATGATATCAATGCAACTTATTAATATCATTAGCTATTCTTAATCTGAAATAGTTAATTAATTTTTCATAAAACTTTGAAATATCTTTGAGAATGCCAATATCATAGACTCTTGACATCATTAGCTTTCATGTCATGAATAACTAATCAATTTTCATGGCATTGTTTATATCAATATTGCCATTGATATCATTAATTATTCTTGATCTAAATAGTTAATCAAGTTCATTTAAAAGTAACTTTAAAATAGAAATATGTGTAGTCAAAACAACATTATTGAAAATTAACTATAATAATACCAATTGCACAAAGAATTATTGACGAGTTGGAGACTATAGTATTTTAAAAGAAAATACTCCATTTTATAACAACAAATAACA